CCACACATAGCCAAGGCGTTCAAGCTTTGGCATTCAAGGCGTGGCGTTCAAGGTTTCGTTTAATGCTCCTCATGTGGTGGATGCATCTGTAGTCCGAGCTGCTCAACAGAAGAATGATGGGCAACTGCAGGGACAAACAGAAACTACGCTTCATAATGATAATTTCAACATTGTGCCAACCCTCTGCGAAGCTTCCGGCATGCTTGTCACAGCTTCTGCGAGCTTCCCCGGCACGTTGGTAACTTTTGCTTCCGGTTTGCTGAGATTGGGCCCTATGTTATGTGACACACAAAGCGCAAGCGCTCGCTTCCGTCAACCCTGCGCGATTGCAGTCTTTTGTAAATGACCTGGCAAAAAGAGAACAAGAATCATACCAACAACTTGTCTTGCCGCTCCTCTCACCTACTAGTAGGTTCTCATTCCCAGGTTGCCAAAGTGCGCATGCCCGTTCACATAGCAGGAAGGGTAAAGCTCTGCAAGCTGAAACCAACTAGTAAGACAAACATGTCACAAACACTGAAAACAAGGGCTAACCGAATGACCTGCAGAGTCTGTGACTAAGAGCAAAACAACACTAAGCAAGCCAAAGGTGGCACGCTCGGGTCCTAGTGTCCACTCTGCATCTTCGATCATGTAAACACGGGGTTTATTTCTGGACACGCGCTCGAAAACCACCGTGCAAAGTGATGGCTTGCAAAAGCATCCCAGGCCTGAGGTTGGACACCAACACCCACCTTGAACATCCAAGGCTGTGTAGCGTAAAGTCAGCTGGAGGTCCTGGTCACCTTCCGGTAAGCCTTCACGCTTTTGGCACAGGGTTTCTCCTTCATGCAGGTGCCCATTCGCATTGCCACCTCCGCATCCTGCGCACAGAGGGGAGCAAAGGCTGGTTGCATCATCCCCTGTAGGACATGGCGAAGTGAAGAAAACACATGGGACATACTCTCGAACATTGGGGAATTGGGGTTTGTTCGCCTGAAAGAAACTTCGCTGAAAAGTTACATATTGACTGTTACATCGGAAAGGCATGGCCTGTGCGCCCCAAGCTCTGGTAGCAGAAGGCAAAACTGAAGGGAGCGGCCAACCCAGGTCCCAAACGATCTGGGCATTGTTCTTAGTGCCAGCCTGAAATACGTCTGAAATCAATTTTACCCTTCTTTTCCAGGACAAGCAAACCGCCACAAAGAGTTGCCCAAAGCATGGGTGGTTAACAAAAACATGAGTGAGCAAAGGGGAAAGGCACTGGATATACGATGGGTTGCAGCGCTAGAAGTACACGAGAAAAAGTGAAGTTGCGGCACTGGCCCCCCCAAAAAAAACGTGCCATGGTCATAAGCCACGCTCGCTTGAGAGGAACCCTTGCAATGGCTCTCTCTCTCTCTCTGCCTCTCTCGTTCTCTCTCTCGCTCTTTCTCCCTCTCTTTCTCTCTCACTCGCTCTTTCTCCCTCTCTTTCTCTTTCTCTCTCTCTCTCTATCACTCTCTCGCTATCTCTCTCTCTCTCTGTCTCTTTCAGGTCCACAAAAACCAACAAAGCAGACGCCCCGCTGTTTTGGGCCGACCCACGCCGAAAGTCTGGAGAGGGTTCACTGTGAGTTCACCGTTTGATGGTTACGTGAGCTGAAGAAAGTTAAAACAGTTCACAAGTTGTTTGAGGTCGGCCCCCCGACAGTTCACCCAAGGTTGTCCGAGCGAAGTGACGTCGTAAAAGCAATCACGGCCTAGCCAAAGACCGCAAAGGGCTCACTGATTGAAGGTCGCAAAACAGTGCGCGCGCTGCCGTGCCAATGGGCGCATCTGCGAGACTGTTCCGAATCCGCTCCAAGACAGCTGCGAGACCGTGTCCGCGCAGGCGTCGCCACCGAGGTGGCTTGCGCGCGCAGGCGGAAGAGCCGAATTCACGCACAGGGCCATGTTTCGGCCCGCCTCTATTCCCCAGTTCTTGTGTTTTCCAGCCTTCTCGTAGCTTTTTTCACGCGCAGTGCATCTAATCTTAAAGATCACGCGCAGGTGATCAAAGGTGCACGCATTCTTACAGGAGCTAGCTCAATTAGTTCCAGTATACTGTGAAGTTCCTTCTAAAATTTGCTCGAACGGGTTTATGGCCATCCCAAGAAAGGGGTTCCTTGAGCATGCAACACGAGAAGCCGCCGCCGCCACAAAGTCGACAGGGTCAATATGCAGCATCGACTGTTGCAAGAATTGTGTCGTCTGTCCAGCTAAGCTTAGCAAGAGCTTAGGTTTCACCGCATTTATATCACCCTAGGATATTCAAATGCTTCGCAAATCATACGCAGAGTAGAGGCCATATTCCAAAGTGGACAGTGTGTTGAGCCATGACATCAATAATCCGATGACGCTGCTGAACATAACCAAGTCAAGGTTTTATCAAAGTCGCTGCAGGCTGGGCATGGTGCAGGGTGGATCTGAAGGCTGCAGAGTGGAACATTGTGGGTTCAGGCTGTACATGGGCCCGAACAAGTTGTCACTGTGAAGGTGGCGGGCAGGGCAAACCTCCAAAGATTGGAATCCGCGCCGCCCGTGTGACCCTCCCCCATAATCCCTGCAAGGGCTCTCAATGTGGGACACCATTGGCCAATGGAAATCCAAGGGCAACGCGGCAAAACTGCCTGGTGACCTTGCCAAGATACCAGGGAACCACCAAACAAAAGAAGAAGGTTGTATTCCACTGCACAACTGGGGAGTTGGCCATGCACAATGGTTTTGCTTTTTTGGGTATGTCAAAATAGGGTGAACCAAGATTGTGATTTTGCTTTTGATTTCCATTTCAACCAGCTCACAAAGAGTACCCAAAGACCAAGCCTTCTGGATACCAGAGCGCAGGCGTGCGCCCTCCGCAGACCCTTTTTGTCGCTAGACGTTGAAGTGTGCTGCCCGGTGGGGAGATCAGCAGCCAATGACTGCTGGCAGCACTAGTCTCTGGAAAAACGCCCAATGTGGCAAGACGTGGTCACACTTCCTGAGTGAGTTGGCCAAAACGAGTCCACACTTTTTGTTTGCCGCTAAAACGGTCTTCCTAAAAACTCAGAGAGTGAGTGGTACCAAACAGCAGCTAAAAAGGAAGCAAGCACAACTTGCTAGTTGAAAGAACAAGGAATAATGGTTGTCCAGACTAAAACCCTGAGCTAGAAGTCTTGAGGTCCACTTTGGGCGTTAGCATAAGGTGTTTGTACTGAAAACAGCCCAGTATCTGGGCAGGAGGTCCAAAAAGTGACTGCTCGATTAGCGAGCTGACTCATCTTCACTTCAAGGGACGGCTGAGTGACGATAGTCACTAGGTCCTGGGGCAGTCTAAGTGGTTGCGATCTCAGCGTGACTTCCAGAAGCCACGGATGCCACCCAAAGCAAGCTTTGCGTCTAAGTCAGGTAGCAGAAACATCCTCCCGACTCGAAACTAATCCTGTCAGATCATGGGTGAGACTCACTCACCGCGACCATACTTCTGCTACCTCCTAAGGTCCTGTCTGTGAGCACATGCAAGGTCCGCCGGGATGCCTGGCCAGGCGCCCTTTAAGGGAAATCAACTGAACAGCAGTTCACTCCATGCTGATAAGCTGGGAAGCACGTCCAAGTCGCAATGTCTCAAGTATCACCTGCCATCAGGCCGGCATCTTCTTTCCCGGCGAAACAAACAGGACCCCGGAACGTGTTCATCCTTTCGACAGTTGGGGCTACCGTCTCAGAGACTTATCGTCAGATCCGCGCGCTCTGCAGTTGCCGGCCGTGCGCCCTGCGCCTCCTGCTTAGAGAAGCCCACAGGGGAAACACCAGAAGAGCGTAGCAGTTGTTGTTGTTTTTTCTTCTGAAAATTAGCCTGTGAGTTGGAGCATGTCGCACAAAAGCATGGATGATCACAGTCAAGAAAAAATCAACTGGACAACCGTGGAATTCACAGGTTAAACAGAACATCGAGACACAGTGGCCACTGGGAATGAGTTCATCTTTAGTCGTGATTGGTACATGCAATGTATTTAAGTGTACTTAAGCCCGTTTTGACCCCTTCAATTGCCTCAGCATTTACAAACGGACCCTCACTCCAATGCTCACGTAGCTTTACTCCAATACTGATTCAGAACCATATCAAGAGTAGCCATGGGAAGTTCATGGCCCTTGATAGTCCGTAACGTTCCAACAAATAGCACCAATAGTCACAATGAGGCTGCAACGGCGTTTCCGCTATGCATCTGAATCAGTATATGATTTGCTTAGACTTTGCCTTTCTTCATGTTGAGCTCCAGGCCACTCTTTCACTGTCATAGTTGCGTTGTGTTTGCTTGTGGATGGCTGTAAATTGATGAGCTTGCAGAGCTACACATACGCATCAAATTGATCAGCTGTTTGTTTGGTTGATTGTTCTCATTGTTGGTGGCAAAGTGTTCGTTGTGGGCATGGGTCACCGGAAAAGAGGTGGACATGCCCAAACAACAAACACCCGAAAGACAAAACAAGCTCCTAACTCCCTCATTCTTGTCTTCTAGTTTCGCGGGGGCAATTTATTTAAGCAGCTTAACAGCTAGCCAGCTAGACAAACAACTGGCTATCTAACTAGCCAACAAACATGTTCGCTTGCTATTTTGTTATCTACGTAGCTCCTTGGCTGACTAGTTCCCGCTACGTAGCTAGCTAGCTAATTAAAGTAGCTAACTTACTACCAACTACAACTACGTAACTTCTTGCATAATCAAATAGCTAGCTAGTCAACTGCATAAGTGGCTCTGCTGCCAAGCTAGCTTAACATACCTACTCAGTGACTGACTCGCTGGCTAGCCAGCAAGCGGACGAAGGCTGGCTTGGCATGAAAACAAAAAAAACGGATGCTCAACTTGTAAGCCGGGCTGTGCACTTCCTCTCACAAGTAGAAGCTATAGCTCTGGACAAACCACTCGAAATCAATACTGGAAGTGAGCCATGCTGGTGACAGGAACTTTCATCATGGACAAGTCCGGTTGTCAGAGGTGAGCACCGAACATGCATTGATTTGCCAAATAGCGCGCAAGCCAGCTCAAGCTTTCTTGCTCAAACAATTAGCAGGATTTGCTCACCTGCTATCTGGCTAGGCAAGCTGTGCAACGGCAGCCAAGCATAGGCTGTAGTTTCGCACTGTTGTGAATTTTTGGCCCCCAGCTAGGCTGGCTCCATTTCACGCAGACAAGCCAAAGTGCGTGGCAACATACATAAATCTCAAAAGAGAGAAACCAAACCCGAGGTCAGTCGTCGACTAGGTCAGCCAGCTTCCACCATGCCCAGCGTGCTCAATGATCACGGTAACCCATATAATCACGCAACTTGCAAGGGTAGATAGCCAAAACCAAAAGTCGGCCCAAATCACCTGTAACACTGCTGGCAGGCAACATGTACCCGGATCCGGCTAGGTACCAAAAACAAGAAACAAACTGTTGGGACATCAAAAACAGTCGAGTTACTGTGCTGACGAACTCAACCAAGTTCACACCGAAGATACGCAGGAGCCCAACCTGCGCAACAACAAAAACCAAGATCTCGACCAGGAGTGAAGCAACATTGCTGATGATGCCATGCATAATCTCGTCGTCCTCGGCGTCAGAAAAGCCGAAGAAATATTGGCGGTTCTGCCCAAATGCGTCGCTTCGCAAGGCACAGGACACCTCGTCTGGGCTTGGATCACGCGGTCAGCAAAACACGACGCAAAATAGCTGATAAGAAGAAAAATGTTGGGTGCCCAAACAGAAGCGCAGGAACGACGTCAATCAATTTAAACAGTGACTCGATGATCAAACTGGAAACATCTGGGAACGAATGATTGATGACTCCAATTATCAGAGTAGTAGCAATGGTCATAATCTTTCTCGACGGGTAACCAAGGAAACCATCATGTACAACGCAGAGAAACACACACACAAATAGTTGCTGTACCATAGCTGTCAATCGAGCTGCTGGAGACACTGAATGCTTGGAGGGAACTAAAACTACAAATTGACTACAAACATGTTTGTTTCCGAATGAGTCAGCACTGGAGAAAACGTCTGCCAATGCAAATTTGTTGCAATGATGAAAGTCGTAGGCACAAAGACCTCGCAAATCTCCACCACTGAGAATATTCCAAGACATCGGTAAAGCTCGTTCAGCAAACGGGCGTCCACTGAGGCCTAGATTGACTGGAAATGTGTTTTTTGAGAATCAATTGTGCACAGTGGTGAGGTGGATGGACTTTAGAAACAACCACACAAGGCTCAAAAAACAAAAAGGGTTTGGCTAAGTGTGGCAATGAAGCGATCTTGCCACTTTGGATTTCCTCCGAAGTCTGCCCTTCAACTCTTTGAAGAGTCTCTCGCATAATGGCTGCGACCCGGCGCAAGCCCACAATCCTGAGACACGTTCGCCGCGAGCCCTCCGTTCGATTTCGTGTAACATTTTTACAAATGTGTTTGGTTCGGGGGCAAACCCTGCGCAAAACGCAAACCATTTTGTATGCCCTCCCCCACCCTAAAGTCTTGCAACTACATCTAAGGCAGGCCCCCTTGATCCGTTTCTGTGCCGGGTGCCAAGGCTCAGTCCGGCAAGGATATGGTGAATTTACGGGTGGCGCCAATCCCCCCCTTGGCCCGTACAAGGGGCTACTCCCCCCAAACAGATTAGAACCAGTCAGGAAGCATCAGGTGATGGATGTTGAGGAAGCATCAGCATGTGTCTGGTTGTAAGCACAAGTAGCTACGGCTCTCTTCTTCTACTTCTAGCTGACGGCTGTGGGAGTATGCACGAAGGGCAATGTAAAGATATGTACGTGGTTGCAAAAATATCAAAACTGAGACAAGTGTCTTTTGATATTTGCTTTGAATTTTACTCTGTAGCCATACACATTTCCGGCGGGACATCAGGTAGCGTGACAGATCACAACGTGTGAAACTCTGACCCGCTCACCTCACCTGAAATCCGTATCGACGATGTCCATGGCAATGGAACATCATTCAAATCGAAAAAACCATTTGAATTGTTGACGTCGCATCTGGTCGTGGTGCCGTGGTGCATTCGGAGTTCAGTATGCTGACCTTTGACATCTTTGTTCATAAAAACTGCCTGAGAAAGCAACGTTACATTCTTGGCGGAGGAATTCATTGCCATTTCTTGCAATGCGGATTGATGCTGAGGAGCATTGCGAGTCGCCTCGGCTTGCTGGGCTTGATGCGGACGATGAGGGGCGCATGCCAGTCAAGCACAGATCCCCTTGAGAAGCATCGCAATGTTGATGCGCGGGAAGCGATCCGTGGATGAGGATTTGTAATCCTAAAATGCGTCGTTGTAGTTGTTGAGCACTTGGTCACACTCGCTTTCTTCCATGCTCGAATAAATCTTGCGTCGTGTCTGGGCCCCAGTCGTCCCCCAATCACGTAGACCACGCAGTCCGGGCTTTTACACTCGTGAATTCATACTAGAAGTGCCGCGTGACATCCTTGAATGTTGCGCTGATCTCAAGTAGTTCGTGGCAACTGTTGAGAGGCTGATTGTCGGGCCATGGGAAAAACGGTGTATTTCCCGCTTGTTGACGCTTTGGCGGCGGGTCACATCAGAACCAACGGCGGCACTGTTCTAGCATTTCGTCTTAAACTGCAACTGGTGCGCGCGGCAATCCCAGGCTTCTGATCAGAATCGAACCCATCATAATGCGACTTTCATATGCAGTGGGAGTTGTTTTTTCTTCCACAAAAACATCCTCATGAAGCCGCCTGCGTATGCCAAGTAATCAGTGGCTGGTCGCGTGCCACTGGCCCAAAAGCCGAAATGTCAAGCTCCGTTATCTGGATGGTCCTCGCAGGGCACTCTTCAATTTTCGTAATGCCTTGCAGAGGCTTGATTGGGCATCCCGTGCTCAGCTTTTCCATCCTGAACTTTCCATGGCTGGCAGAATGTCAGAAATCATCTTCAAACAAGAAACCTTCCGGAAGATAGTCCACTTTCAGATCCAGGCGTCTCTTCCGGTTCTCTGTAAGCTTCTCCTCAACAATATCCTTGAAAAACTGTTGATGAGTTCACCGATTTTCTTGAGTAGCTCTCATCATTTCTCTTCTTTTGACAAGCGCTTGGCACTCTCGCTGGTGATCTACTGACAGGAACCAACTCCTTGTCATTGCTGTCCTCTATATACATCTCAATTGAGCAGTGCTGATCTGGCGATTGCCACGACGGGCTGGTTGGATGACCCAGTACACTCTCGTCTGGGAATGATCTAGTCGTCGACGCAGGTGAGATGACTGTGAATCCCTTGTCCCCAGGCTTGAGAATTCCTAACAACAGAATTTCGTACATTTTTTCGGAGGTCTCGTGCGCCATGATTGACATATATTCTTCTCCACTGCGCACGGTCTTGAAGGACGGTCGTGATCGCAGACGGTGGCACGTCTGGAGGTGTGGCATTGGATGGCTCTTGGGATGAGGAGCGTCACACATATAGGCTGCTCCTTCCGAGGTTGCTGAGATTCGTTTTTCAACCACATGATCAAGTCTTCGTTTCGCTGATCACCCTGCCAGTCATAGCATTGATCTTGCTGCTTGTGGATAGGTCGTCCAAAGTGCTGGATGTTGAGATCACGTGTGGCTGGAGACAGAGGGAGATCTGAGGTACATCTCCATGTCACCGTGAACCTAGTAGTTTGAGCGCCGCGCTGACGTTGTCCTTTTGATTTGGCGGCAAGTTGCTGGCCCATCAATTTGGAGGTGTGATCTTCGTCTTGTCTCCTCTCTCCTGGAATGATCCGTCGCACTTCGGGAACAGCAACGCCAACCCACATCTCGTCTTGTCGCGCTTCGCAAATATTGTCATCAGCAGGATGGCGAGTCAAGAAGATCGTACTGAAAATAAACATGGACTTGGTGCCTTCCTGATTCATGGCGAAGGCCGTGGGAACTCAGCCTCTCCACAAAATCAATGATGTGAGCTCCATGCCCGGGGATTTTTGTTGCAGGCAGCAGGCCATCGGAAGGAATTTGACATCGTCCATTCATCCTGTAGCCAGGCAAAGGCTCCCTGGCAGACCAATTGTGTGGTGTCTTAGTCTGTGCCGTGTGAAGACTTTGGGCGATGTCTTGAGGGTGTCTTGAGCGCTGATCGGTGAGAAACACTGCCTCTGCGATGAGTCGCGCCATGATTTGAGCTTGCCATGCGAGAGGGCGCGCAAGGAGTTAACCCTTCATGCCCGTGCGGAGCAAGCGGATGCCACAAAGTTGGCTGGCAGACTTTGATTGTCTCCTTGCTTGATTGTTTCTATTATATTGAGATCTTTCGATGACTCTTTGGAAGGTTGGGAGAGAGATGAGAGGAAAAAGAGATATAGATTCGGTCATTTTCTGGTTTGTTGAAGTTTGGTCAACGTTTTGTTGAAGTAAAACGGGTCGAAACAGTCTCTGCCATCTGGCCAGTCGCGAGCGAGATTGCAGCTCGACCGAGATGAGCGTGGGGGGGAGGGGGTGGAGATGGTGGAGATGGTGGACATATGCGCAATGCTGCATCAGGCCGACGGGTGTCGGCAGGCGCAAATCCGTGTATAAGTTGAAGATCAGAAATGAACGCGTCGGGGCGGATGCCTCAGTCAGGTTGGGTCTGGGTGGGGGTGTGGATGCGGCCGTGGCTCGGAAGCAGGACCTGCGCTCACTTGCATGAGGTTGCATGAATGTAGAGGCATCCACCGGCAAACCAAACAGTTCTTTCCGAGAAACCGGTCACATCCCCCTGTAGAAACCAATCAAACCCCCTCGAAAAAGCAGGTGTATCCCATCTAAAACCGGTCCAACACCGAAATACACCGGTCAAGTTCAAATCCCCAAGCCAGTCAAATGTAGAAGAAATAAGTCAAATCCTCCCTGGAAACTGGTCAAAACCCTCTACAAACCCGTCAAGCCCCCTCTAAAAACCGGTCCCTAGAACCCGGTCAAGTTCCCCCGAAAAACCGGTCAAAATCCACATATACATGCATATATGTATATATATATATATGTCACTTCACTCATTTGTGTGTCTCTCCCAACCCTCCCACCCAACACACCTTTGATTCATCCATGGGGGATGCGCGACCTGGTGTGTTGGGCCTGCCCCTCCATCCATGGTCAGTGGATGGGGCAGGCCAACCAAATCGTTCCAGGGGAGAATTTCCCCCCTGGAAGTGAAAAAGATCGCCGGTGAAAACGGCCATGTGTGCATCGTCAACCTGTCAGGGGGCGCAAAGGGGATGGTGGTGGGTACTCAAAACAGGCCTGAGCCTAAACACATGTGCCGTTTACGTGACGTTTCATGAGTGGCAAGCAACCCATTTCCACGTCACTTCACTCATTTGTGTGTCTCTCCCAACCCTCACCCAACACACCTTTGATTCATCCATGGGGGATGCGCGACCTGGTGTGTTGGGCCTGCCCCTCCATCCATGGTCAGTGGATGGGGCAGGCCAACCAAATCGTTCCAGGGGAGAATTTCCCCTTCCGCAGGGCGACCCTGGAACGCTTTCCTTAAATGGAGCCCGCTGCCACTACGCCCGAGAGTGACAGCCTCCTTATAACTGACATGCCTCCTACCGCATGCCAGCTTGAGAGAAACCTCTCTCGTAACCCTCCTCCTTTGTTTTGTTTTCTTTCCCCCTGCCTCACCATGGTTCCTTCCATCTCATCTCCGCCTTCTTGGGCTTCTTGGCCGAGTTCTGGTCGTGGTGCTCCTTGCCCTTCTTCTTCTTATCCTTCTCGAGCCTGATCTCCGAGTCCAGCTGAGTGGCCGCCTCCATGATCTTCGGAATTACTTTGAAGCCCAGCTCGTCCAGCTCCAACCGCACCCTCAGGTCTGGGTTGAAGAGGGTGAAGTCCAGGTTGGTGAGCGCGTCCGCTTCTTCGTTCTGTTCCCGAGGTGTCCACCCGAGCTGAAGGGTTGTGCCCAACTCGCCCAGCTGAACTGCTAGCTCCATCAGCACCACCGAGAGAGGGAACGCCGTGCTCATGTAGTGGTCGATGACGTGCGTGTTGACCAGGCTGTCGGTGAACCCTTGCACCACGAGCTCGCCCACCGAATCTCTCCACTGCGATCCTGGCCCGAAGATGCAAACAGCTACGGTGGTCGCGATCAGCTCCAGGCTAGCTATCACGCGGAACGGCTCGCCCTTCACGTAGGCCCACGGGGCCGATTTCCGTGTCAGTTTCAGCGAGAACCACCGGGCCTCCGCGGTGGCGCGACCTCCGAAGGACTCCCATCCTCCGACCACCACCAGATCTCCCTCCGCCTTGGCATCCACCCGAAAGAGTTCGCCCACCTTCTTTGGCAGCGGCCGTGGCTCCGTCAGAGGACGCCGAGTGATCTCCACTTTGATGAACTCCAGCACGATCTGCACCGCCATCGGCACCTGATGAAAACCTCCCGGCTGAAGCCTAGAGGTCCACGCGAAGATCACCCCCAGGAAGGGGCGTACCTGCACCAGCGCGCCTGCCACGAACGAAAGCCGCCCCAGCGCTGATCTCATCCGGCTGCCCAGGATGCTGCCCTCGTCCTTGACCTCCTTTATCCAGCCGAGAACCCACGCTACCTTGCTGTCCCCTATGCCCTTGAGGTAGTGCTGAATGTCGGCCTCGTAGCCGATCCAGCCCAGCCTGGCCCCTCCAGCCACCTTCTTCCAGGTGATCGGCACCTCCACCACGTCCATCACGAAGAACCAGTAGAGGATCCACCTCCAGCAGCTTCGAGGAGCCCATCGTCAGCAAATAGCAGGTGATAGAGCTCGTAGGCTCCGGCCGACATGTAGTGCGCCAACCTGGTGACTGCCGCTGCCACCCTCTGCCACCAGTAGGCTGCCGACCCGAAACCGAAGGCCCCCACCGTGTGCATGAAGACCTGTTCCGGCCTCTCCAAGCTGAAGGCCATGAGTGGCCAGTCCTGCTCCTTGACGGGCACCAACTTGTGTGCACGGCTGACATCGTACTTCATGAGCAACCTGACTGCCGGGTTCGCTGCCTGGTCCGCCTTCATCTGCCTGACCATCGCCTCCAAATCGTCCACCCCCGGGAACCTCATGCGGTCCCTCACCCGAATCCGGTGGTTGATCATCACCTCGTGGGTTGCGTCGTGAATGATCCTCACCTTTGATGACCCCAACTCCTTGGGGACCGCCCCCAAAGAGGCCTCCGAACTTTTCCACCGCCGCCTGCTTGTCCATCCGGATCACGTGGCCCCTCTCGATGTCTTCCTCCACTTGCCGCCGAATGTCCTCCATGTTGTCCACCGCCGAGCCGTAGTTCTCGCACCAGACCTCCTTGAAGGGGTCATCCACCTCCTCGAGATTCCACTTCACCTTGGCTTCGAAGACCGCAGGCACCCGGGGCATCTCTTCGTCCACACCCAGGTCCACCCCCGTTTCCACCAAGGGGATGAGGAACTGGTGATCGGGGTCCTCCGCAACTCTCAGCAGGGCCTCCATCCTCCTGTAGTGGATCTCCCTGCTTCCGCTGGCTCATCACAAGCTCGCCCAGCAAGGCCTGACTCATCTGCGACGCGTGGTAGTACTTGCCCATGGCCCCGATGAGGCCGGTGCCCTCGCAGTTGGGCAAGGCCAGCAAGAAGTCCCGATTGAACAAGCCTGCCTCCTCGCTCATGGCCTTCCACAGCTGGTAGCCAACCCCAAGCCACCTGGGCTCCTCCAGCCATGCCTCCACCGAGATGAAGACGTGCTGGATCTCGACCTTCTTTCCCGCTCCGGTGGTCTTGGTCCTTTCCAGAACACCCCGAAGACCGCGGCCACTCATCTCCAGCTTGCCGAAGGGCATTCCCTGCGTATCCGAGAAGCGCAGCGCCCCCCAGAGCTTCACCAACCGAAACCAGGCATAGGCCCGGGGGTATCTAGGCACCCCCTCCGTCATCACGTATCTCTCCATGGCCATGATGATCTCTACCGGGATCTGCACAGCCTGCCGCCGTCCTCGCAAATCCAAGCTGCCCAGCTCCAGGTTGACCTCCTCCAAGGTGTTCTGCAGCGCAGGGTGCTTGCAGAGCCTTTCCTTCTCCGGCACCTCCCCAGCCACCTCGATGAACATGAGGGTCTTCATCAAACTTGTGGGGATACTCTTGCCGCATGGCTCGGCCACCCGATGCATGACGTACTCGATGAACTGCTCGATGGTCCGCGGCCATGGCACATTAAAGGTGCTGTACAGCCACGTGGCAACATGCCGCCAGGTCTTGACGTGCTTCCGCAAAGTGGTGGATCTCCTCCCTTTCCCGATCCTGTGCCAGGCCGTCCCATCTGGGTCCGCGTTCCACCCCTCAGCAGCTGGCAGCTCCGACTCCACGATGATCCTCTTGAGCATCACCGTCCACCTCGTCCTCTCCGATCTCTCGGCCCGATCTCGCAGGTCCATGTTGTCTCCAGCTCGCCCCACCAGCCTGCTGAGCCGGCAGGGCCAGCGTGCCAAGGGAGCTTTGGTTTTTTTGCAAGGCAGCGCCTCAAGATCCACGACCTCCGCCACCATCTCCCGCCGGAAGATCCTAGCCCGCTTGAAGCCAGCCGCCACCCAGTCCAACCCGCCGGACCGGCCTTCCACCCCCCACTGGATCCTGCCGGTGCTCCCGCACTCTTTGACCTTCTGGAAGAACTCCTCCAGCTCCTCCGCCGTGGCTTCACGCCCAAACGCCTTCTCCAGGAGCTCGCGAAGGCCCCTCTTCGGCAGGTCGTCCAGTGTCGCAAGCCTGGCCGTGGTCCAGCCGCACGCCGCCAGCCTGGACCACGGCTCAGGCCACTCCATCGCCGCGAGAGTGCCCCCCTCTACTCAAAACAGGCCTGAGCCTAATCACATGTGCCGTTTACGTGACGTTTCATGAGTGGCAAGCAACCCATTTCCACATGCCTCAGGCTTCGCCCCCCAGTCCACAGCTCTCGTTCTATCGCCCTTCAAGCCATGTGGAAACGCGCAAACATGCAGCCACCTTTTATCTTGGAACCGGAACGCGCATTTCGGCGCCAACTCACTCACTCAGCAAAACACAACACTTCAAGGCAAAACAAACCACAGTATCTCAACGCCTGCCAAAAGCAATCTGTCCGATAAGGTTGAAGTTTTGTCAGTTTACATTCCCAAAAATGTGTCCCATGCCATGCGGTGGCTACCCGTCAGAGCTTGCATCGCCACCGCATGCTACTAACAATGGGGGCAGATTCGACGCACTCCATGTAGACAAAGGAGAAGCCACATTGGCAACTTGTACGCTTGGAGGAGCAGGGGGATTCACACACACACACATACACATGCGCACAGAGCCTCATCGTGCTTAGATTTCACCTCTCTTGCCATACCCCTGCGCACGAACTATCAGGTTCTCCCGCCTAACTCAGGATTTGCGTGGTTCACTCGAAAGCATCAAACCAGTATACTGCGCATGGGGTCTCCAAGTTGGGGCATTGAACCCAGGGAGGATTGCTGTCTTTTAAGAACTGCATGGCTTTGGTCGCTTGAAACCAATTTTCTTTCGAAAGGATAAGAGAGGTACAGCTAGGACTATTTTGCACAGTGCAGGCCAAGCATCTCTTGCAATCGGCGAACCTGCTGAAAGCTGCGCCGCAGCCGGGAACAGCACCAAGACCTGAGCAGGTCGTGGCCACAAGCCACCCACCTCTTCTGTGAGTGAGGAAGGGCGACCAACCTCATGCTGAGTTTCCATAACATTTCAGCACAGAAAGCAACTCCTCTGAAAGCAAAACGAAACCCCTAAGAGCCCCGCACATAGCGTTCCTAGAGCTGCCAACTTGGGCAAAGCTGGGGTTCACCAATCAGGGCCTACAAGCAAGGCTTGGAATGTTGAGGAACAAATCATCTTGAGGACTATGTGCGTTCCCTTGCTCACTCAATCTCACCTACGAGTACCTCTCAGCTTGTTTGGGGCCGGAAGGCTGGGTGAAAGTGAGAATAGGAACGCAGCAAGGACGAGCGCTTTTTCCTCTCACTCGTTGACAAAAATCACGGGCCACTCAAATCAGTGTAGTGGGTCTTC